CAATGCCCGAAAAGCCAATTTAGTGACAAGCCGGGTTTTCGCCTGTTACTGTCAAAAATTAAAAACCGTATATTTTACTCATTTCTCATCCGAAAAAACTGAACTTTTCAGGGAATGATTAACAAAGATCATAGAATGTAGATCGAGTCGAATAAATTACATAGGGTTTTTAGTTTATGCATATGATTTGTTAGTGGATCTCTAGAAAACCTCCTATGGAACCAAAGTTCCGATAGGTTTTTTAAGACCAATTCCACATTCTATGATCTTTGTTAATCATTCCCTGAAAAGTTCAGTTTTTTCGGATGAGAAATGAGTAAAATATACGGTTTTTAATTTTTGACAGTAACAGGCAAAAACCCGGCTTGTCACTAAATTGGCTTTTCGGGCATTGTGATTAAGTGGGGAATGAAACGAACATCGCCACGATAATCAACGTGGTCGATTATCTATGATCACTTGTTTGTGAGACTCCCAGACGTCTTCGCAACGAGATAGGTGTATCGTCGGAAATCCGGCTTTCTAGGCCGAACCAAGCAAAAGTAAGAAGTCGCTTAGATCCAAACATTTAGAAGACATGTTGGGCTATATAGCTATGAAAAAAACTCAGTATATCATTACGGAGGATTCCAGAGATTTGAAGAGGTTTTTCAAAGATCCGCTGAAAAAGCTATCTTCGAAAGTTTTTTGACTTCGATTTTTGCTTGTGAAAAGATTGGGAAATAGTCTTCTTTTCATTAGTGAAAACCGCAACTCTCTATCTATCATCGTCCTCGGGTTATTAAAGAAACGCCAACCTACATTATATTTTGGTACGGATACTACTTGGATTATTGTATACTGATACAATATTCAGGAGTTTTGAAGAGGTTCGGAAAATTCATTCATTGGCTATAAAACTACCGGTCGAGACAGTATTTGTAGTCAGGGGATTTTCTCCGAAACTGACATAATACATCACAAATAAATTGTATGTATTTTCCTCTGTACTTGATCCACGATTCAAGCATGTCACTTTTGTAGAACTAAAGAGTTTTCAAACAAATAAAGCTGTCATTTATAAAGAAGCGCTTATCACGATGCCACTTTGTATGACATTCTGAAAAATCTTTGAAGTAAAAGTGTTATTGTGTGCCTTATTCATGTAGATTGAGTAATCGAATATGTTGCAATGAATTATTGAGAAGTGCAACGAAAGCTTAACGGTTATTTAATCAAACAGGATGTTTATTATTATTCGAGCTTCCATCTTTTATTTGCTCTTCGAGTTAGGTAAACGCGGTCTTTCTCGCCATTTAACGTGCATGATACGAAAATAAAAGAAAAAAGCGGTGATAAGCAAGCGTGCAGTTAGAGTATGCTCAGATTTCCAATTATTACATCAAAAATTTGATTATATTGGTACAAGAGCAAAATATAATGTGTGTATTCCCTAGAATTTCTAGAGGTCAATAGCGGAAGTCAACTTAATAGATATTACGTGAGAGACGAAATAATTTATCAATGAGTAACAGTAAGAAGATGGAACATGTGGAAGTACGATATAAAGGAAAACTGACCCATGAATTTGATGGAAGTTAAAGACTAGTTTATCGAATTAGTTGCAATGATTGTGATCGTAAATATATCAGGTAAAGCTTATGCCAAACATCTGTGAACATGATAAAGGCACTTCAAAACGTATATTGTGTTTTCTGGGTCAACTAGTATGTTTTTTTAATAGATCCTCCCCCAGTATCTAGTAAGCCAAATATCTCAAAAACGAAAAGAAATGACACCCGGCTTTGCATCATTTGAACGGTCCCATGTCATCAGAACCGCTAAAAGATCCCCGGTTACCGTAGCGGTCACCGCCGAGTATAATGGGAGGTTAACCTAATGGACATGTGAAATTACCGCACGGTCCTTTTGGTTGGACCAGTGGTACTGATCAGTTGTAAACGCGATAAAACCGTCGTTAAATTCTATTTTCTTCGGTTAAAATGCAGCCTAACACCAGTGCAACCTAACCACTTTCGATTCACTCTGACAGCATTTTTTTATCTTCCTTGCTTTTGCTTTATTATGCAGAACTTTTTAAACAAAACAGTGAGTGTAAATTTCGAAAATCCTGAAACAGTTGTGTCTATTCTTAAACAAAAAGAAAAGCTACTGTCGAGTTGGTTTCTCACTGTTGTTTATCCTCTGGTAATGACTGTCGATCAATTGAATTTGATCCATCTGTGTTGGTTTCCTCATTTAACAAAACCTGCTGTTGTTGTGGTGATCCTTCTTTTGTCATAGCATATAAAGATTCAATATTTAGTCCTGAACGTTTAAATCGAGAACGAATTAATTGTCGCCGTAAAGGTGATGGTGTTGATGATTGCTTCTGAACTTGTTTGATTAAATTACGTCTCTTCTGCAGAAACACTTATGTAATCGAGGCCAGACAACATCCATTTTTTGTCGACGAATTTTGCAGTTGGATCTAACTGTTTCTGAGAAAGAGAAAAAAAACTTGACATATCTTAACTCTCACGAGGGAACATTTCCAAGTGAGGCACACCGATTTTTTTCATTCTTATGCCGACCGACAGAGTATATCTAGGTAATAAATACCCTAAAAGGGTTCGTGCCCATGACTCTTCAAGATCCGATTTTCTGGAAAACTTCAGATACTCTAAAATATAATCAAAACCCTTTCTTAATAAGGCAGGATTGCAGCCCGTAAATTTTTGATTAGAATGAGACATCTCCCAGCTCTACACGACCTTTCTTTGAAAAGTTATGGAATTTACAAGTAAAGCCCTAAATGTTCATTGTCAGCGCAAGCTACAGAAATAAAAAACTAATTTAGGGCTTTTCTTGTAAATTCTATAACTTTGCAAAGAAAGGTCATGTGGAGCTGAGAGATGTCTCATTCTAATCAGAAATTTGCGGGCTACAATCCTGTCTCATTAAGTATAGGTTTTGATTATTTTTTAGAGTATCTGAAAAACTGGTTTTCCAGAAAACTGGGACTTAAAGAGTCATGGGCACGAATTCTTTTAGGGTATTTACTACCTAGATATACTCTATCGATCGGCATAAGAATGAAAAAATCGGAGTGCCTCACTTGGAAATGTTCCCTTAGTCATTTATATAACTACCACATTTATTCTCACGAGTCCGAATGTGCCGTTTATAAGTTGATAACCTTGATCGTGAGCAATTGGATAGATCCAAATTAATAACTTCATCTGCATTTTTATATATAACATCCATCAACAATGTTACGAATAACTTTAAGTAATTAATATCCGCTTCCAAGGATAATAAATTAATACTTTCATCCTCTCGTTCGTATACCTAGAAAGCGATAAATATTATATTTTTGTTTTTGAAGACTAGAAAATGTTGCTTACAAGAACACTTTCAAATGATTTTCCAGAATCATCTTGTCTGACTTCTTCTTCTTCTCGTTCTGGCACTTGTAAGGGAGAATACGAACCTATAGAGAAATTCCTATAGTGTCCCGTAATGTAAATGGAAAAGAATTTAAATTGCCTTACATATATTGTTATTAGATTCTGATGTCGCGAAATGAATTTTCTGGAATATTTGTTCATTAACGGATTCACCTAGAAGGTATACAACGGATGTTCTGTTAGATATTATACGAGTAGGTCCTTCAAAACGGGTAATTCTTGTGATACTGTCCCACACTTTACATGAAGGTGTGCCGCAAAAATCACGACGTATCTCATTTTAAAGAACATTTAATTCTGGGTAAGAATACATGATTTAAAAAATTTTAAAATACCAGCATGGGGTTCCGGGGAGGTCCGACATTTGGTGATTTTATAGGTTTCAAGACGCAAATCATATAATTATCTCAGAAATGACACAAGCGACAAACATGAACGCTTCAAGATCTATACTACAGACCGTAAGGAATAAAATGGTCCACTTAAAAAAAACTCAAAATGCTGCACTGCTTTACTGTACTTGTTGTAAGATGATGAAAATCATGAAAATCCGTCATATTGAAATGCATTTTCACCATCAGATTGAACTCTAAACTCAAAAATAATACGTGCATCAGATTCCTCGTGGTCAATTCTATCTAACTTAGAAATGTAATTTGTTATTTTCCGCATCGCTTCTATCAGCCTGCTGAAGGCCACCTTTCACAAGCATTACGACACTTATTTCATTTTTGATGATTCTCCAAGCTATTTTTAACCATGTTTTTCCCATTTTTGTTGACCCCAATGCACATTTTCAGACTCTACATCTCTCGAAACATATGAATTAACGGAAATCCCAATACCTTATCTCCCGTTTATGAGATAAAGGTCTCTAAAATCCCGGATTTTCCCGAAAACCGATTGCAAAGTACATCGAAAACTTTTTTTAAACATACCATTAGATAGAACGTTCATTTCTCCACAAAATGACATATCTTCCATTTTTACATTGCTTAACCAAATGAAATCGCATCAAAAAGTCGAAAAGAACTCATTAACAACTAAAGGGCGCGTGATTTCACTGATATTGTTGTACAACTTCAGTAGTGACTCCAACTCGGTCATTCTTTAGCTTAAAAGCGTGGCAGATATGCCATTTTGGGATAAAAACTCTCACCTTCTCGAAATATAAATCCAGTGTGAACTGTATTTCTCTCTTTATATTTGATCATACAATTTTCATCTTTTGGACATTTGGATTTTTTTAAAATCGTATAGTTATTTTCTTTAGGCCAAACAATTACAGCGAAATTTTCATCTCCAATACACTGACAAGATGTGGTAGTTAGAAACCTTGTTGTATGAAGGTTCGAAGTGGTAGCCACCTGAAAAGAACCAGAGCAGAAAAAAAAACGGAATGGCTATTGACACCACTAAGAGGTGTCAGCAAGAGTTATTGACACCTACTGGAGGTGTCAGCAAGAGCTATTGACACCTACTGGAGGTGTCAGCAGGAGCTATTGACACCACTAAGAGGTGTCAGCAAGGGCTATTGACACCTACTGGAGGTGTCAGCAGGAGCTATTGACACCACCATCTGAGATGTCGCGAAGGGCTATTGATACCTACTGGAGGTGTCAACAGCTCTTGGTGACACTTCTGATGGTGGTGTCAATAGCCATTGCTGACACCTCCAGTAGGTGTCAACAGCTCTCGCTGACATTCTTCGGTGGTGTGTCGTATTCACCCTCTAGATGTGTCGCGTTCACCCTCTAGAACCTTTTGATCGTATTTAGTAACCTTCGAATCGTTTCTAAAGTATAGGATATTTTCTTTCCAAGACTAACAAAATATGCCTGAATTTGTTTCTTCGATAGTCGATCATCTTTGGCTGTTAATTGATATATAAAAGAATTTTGATACTCATGACAACACACGAACGTCTCTATATTTGAGTCAATTGAGTACGTGATGAAGAAGAATTTTCAATAAATGCTCTAATAACTGATGATAAACATTTCTTTTGCTTCCATTTTAGAAAACTCTTTTTATATCGATGAAATTGTACTTTAAAATAGTGTTGATGATGATGATGATACCGACAGGAGTAAAACATGTTGATTCGATCTAATTACTTAAGCATCAAACATATTCAAAATGAATTGTTTTTATTTTGTATTTTCTTTCGTGTCTCTCCCTATCTCGTGACTCTCCCTCTTGTGCGAAGAATAGCGTTTTATTATTAATAGCATATTACAACAAAAGAGCTAATATAGAATTCCGAAAATGTTAGAAAACGTTAGTTCATTCAACAATGTAAGATATTTAAGCAGTTACAGTACCGTTGCTGTTGGCACTACTTAATTTAAATTTTAATTAAAATTTAAACTTAATTAATTAATAACTCTGTGAATAGTTATCAGTTCATCGAACGAACTTAAGGATATATGTAATCATGTCTCCTCTTTAAACTGACAAAGTTTGAAGGTAC